GTGGGTGAGGTGGGCCAGGGCTTGGGATCAGTGGGTGAGGTGGGCCACGGCTTGGATCAGTGGGTGAGGTGGGCCAGGGCTTGGGATCAGTAGACGGTAGCTCAATGTGGCCCACCACAAAGGTAGGTCGGCTCAGACTCCGAGCTGGGGTGGCCTGTAAGAGCCTGAAGAGAAGTCCAGCTCCTAGGCCCCAGCTGTCCTCTTGTGTTCGCTTTGGGCGCCACCTTTTAGAAAGGACCCTGACTAGCTGGGAAGCTGCCGGGGACGACAATCAAGCTGGATCCGAGATCCAATTAGATCATAGATTTGGAGCTTGAAGGGACCTCCCAGGAAGTCTAATCACAAGATCCCACGTGGAGAGCTGGACGGGACCTTGGACTTAGCTGAGTCCAGCCCGTCATTCTGCGGACTTGCCCAGGTCACGAGGCTGCGAGGCAGGATTCGAACCCGCTCCCTGCCTCCAGGCCCATGGGACTCTTTACTGCTCACACAGTCAAAAGAACACGTCCGAGGTCACCCGAGGCGATGACAGGTAGAGCTGGGCTTGGGACTGCAGTAGCACCCGAGGATCCCATGCTGAGACGTGGAAGCGACCCGGCGAGTCCAAAGCCCTCCATTTGAGAGACGAGGAAATGAATGATGGGAGTGAGCAGTGAGAGAGCTCTTGATCCAATGTTTGCAAAGTGCTTTACACAGGTTGTGTCACTCAAAGCTCCCAACAGCCTTGCAGGCACCATCGTCATCCTCATTTTAAAAATGAAGAAGCTAAGAACTTTGGTTAAGTGACTCGCCCAGGGTCACACAGCTACCAGGCAGGATTCATACCCACATGTTCCTGACTCTAGACCCAGGGCTTTATCTGCCGCGCCACTTAGCTGGAAGTGATGCAGCATGGCCAGAATCGAAGGCCTCAGCCTCTGCGGGATGAAGGCCCTGGAAAGAACTGGGGCTGTGGAGCTGGAGAAGCTGCTCCTCCTTGGAGCACAGGGGGTGGGGCCGGGGCATGGTAGTATTTGAAAGGCTGGCACGTGCACCCACAGGGAAGAACCTGGACCTTGGAAGCTCAAGATAAGACAGCTCTGAACAGTGGAATGCCTTTCCTCGAGAGGCACCTAGATGACCACTTGTGGGGGTGGGTCCCCATGAGGGGGCGCTGGATGAGACCTCTGGTTCTGTCTGGCCCAGGGACGCTCGAGCGGTGCAGCCAGGAGGATGGCGGGCGAGCTTGTGCCCTGGCTGCGTGGAGGGGGCAGGGCTGGAAGGGGTGATCCCTCCCAGACTCCATCACCAAAGGCGTGCATGTCCTGCTCATTCCAAGGGCTGAAGCCAAAGAGGATTAACTGGAAATCCAGCAAATGACCACAAAACCAGTCCATATCAGGTAGCCGCTCAAGAAGAGGAGGCCTAGATGCCCCTCCATGCTCTCCCCCTCCATTTCCCACCACATCAATAATCAAAAGCCATTTAAAGGTAATAAATAACATTAGCTTCCATTTCTATGGTGCTTGAAGGTTTGCTGAGCACTTGACAAATATTAGCTCCTTTCCTCTTCACCATGACCCTGGGAGGCAGGTGCTATCACTATTACCCCATTTTACAGATGAAGAAAACAAGTCTGAAAGCGGGAAAGTGACTTCCCCATGGCTACCATGTATCTGAGGTGGCAGATGAAGCCCGGTCTTCCTGACTCAGAGGCCAGCACCCAACCTGCCTTAGAACATGGCCCTCGCCTGGCTATTTCAAGTCTCATGACATGCCCGGAAAGCGGTGAGCAGGGGACCGGACTGGGAAGGAGACCTAGTTGTGTGCTGCTGCAGAATGACCTTGAGCAAGTCACATTCCCCGCTTTGTGCCTTAGTTTCCTCATCAGTAAAATGAGAAAGTTCACCAAGATGCCATGCTGTGTTCTACTTCCTGAAGTCCCATGTGGCTGTCTTAGGCTACGTTCCTGGATGATGCTCATGGGGCCCTGATGGACCCTCCATCCTCCAGGGAAGTTTTGCCAGATTCTCGTCCATGAGGCAGGAAGGAGGGTTCAGATGCGGGGGGGTGAATGGGGGAGACTTCTAGGATAGATTGAAAGTTAAAAGCATTTCCTGGTGATTACCCTCTGATTAAACCAGAACCCCCTTCAGTTACCCAGAACGTTTATCTTGCTGCCCCCCTGAACCCTGGTTCGTGGGGGTTGACGATTCCCTCTGTCTCCTCAACATAGGGGGCCCCTCCCAGAACCCAAGGTGCTTGACCCCCAGGAGAAGGACCTGACCTGAAGGTGAACCCCCCTGCCTCTTGAGACCCTTCAAAGCAAGATGGATCTCGAGGCACAGAGGGCTCAGCTGAGGCTTCTGAGGGGGGAGGAGGGCAGAGGGGCCTCTGCCATCAAAGCACTAACTCCGAGTTGCATCTTGTCTTGATGGGTTGACAGAGAATGATGGAAGAAAAATCCAGCCTGACAACGAGAGGAGTTGCTGATACCAAGGGTGCCCCCCAGGTCCCAAGCAAGAGACAGACCCTACACGTGTGCGGCGTGGCCTTCCGAGGAACAAAGAGCCAGTCCTAATACTTACCAGCTCCACTGTCTCCACACGTAACTTCTTATTTTTATTTTAATTTTTAAAAAAGTGTTTATGGTAAATGTAGTTCCTGTCTCAGGAGAACATCTGCCTTGCTTTAAGCCCAGCTGAGACAGGAACGAGGCCTAGCTGAGCTTCCACAACTCTACGTCTCTCCCAAAGACAGGGCAACGAGGAAGGAAAGGCTACCACGGAGAGGGAGGGACTTCAGACAGCTGAGGGTCCAGGGAACGGAAAGCACAAAGCCTCACTTCTCCCAGGCCTGTGGGGCCGTGGGGCTTGTCTGTCTGAAGGTCAAGGGGAGGGCTGGGGAGGAAATTTATGTCTCACTACGGGTTGCGAGAATCAGTCAGGTTAGGACCGAAGGGCCATACATCTCAATGACAGGAAGGAAATGGTTATGTAAATACACAAGTATTAACATAAATCTGTATTAAATTATGTAAACATATACATCTTCTGAGGTCAGGGCCCCGGCGGGATCCTCAGTGCAGAGAGGCCTCTACTGGAGCATGGCTCGGATCTGTTTGGAGGTGGACTCATCATTCAGGTGCTTTGTAGTGAACCTGGTGGGGGGGAAGCAAGCAGGAAATAGGAACCGAGGTCCAGAGCTCAGAGTCCGCTGCTCTCGGGCCCAGCTAGTGCAGGACCCAGCCTCTCAGCGCTAGACAGGAGTTCAGAGGCAGCTACCCCCACCCTTTCATTGTGCAGATGGTGAAACTGAGGCTCAGCGAGGTCAAATGAGCCAGGGTCACACCCGGAGGTTGGATCTGAAAAAGACTGAACCCAAGGCCTCTGGCTCCTAATATTCCCCCAAGGCAGCGCGTTCTACTTTGGGACCAAAGCTTCAATTACTCAAAAATTTCTCCAAATATATTAGGACCTGAGTTGGCCTCTTTGCAACATGCCCCTGTCGCTCCTTGTTCTGCCCCACCCCCACGCCCCTCTCCTGGGGTTCTTGTTGTCTTGGACTCATGATCTCAGAAGTGTGGGAAGCTCCCCAACATGGAAACTCATCAGCAGTTCATCTGCAGCAGAGAGCTGCCTCGTGCACTGGAGTTTAGGTGACTTGCCCAGGGTCATACAATATGTGTCAGAGATGGGCCTTGAACTTGGGACACCCTGACTCCAAGGTCTGACGTGATAGATTGCCCCTCAAACACTTATTCAGACCAAGGGTAGGGTTTCCAGGCCACTAAAATGCCTGTAGCAGGGGCATCCTCGACTTGAAGTCAGAGCATGAACTTGACTATGTTAGTTTTCTTCTCTGTGCCTCAGTTTCTTTTTTAGTAAGTTGAGGATAGCCAGACCTTAAATTTGTATAACGTTCTAAGGTTTAGAAAACACTTTTCTCACAATTGCCCTGTGAAATAGGACGTACAATCCATCACTTAATACATAAGCTTTTATTAAGCACCTACTGTGTTCTAGCACTAGGGGTGGGTGTCAGGAACATAAATACAAGAAGTGCGACAGTCCCTCCCTCAACTGGCTAATATTCTAATATGCAGGTATGATTGTTACCCTTTCATACAGAGAAGGAAGGAAGCAAGCTCAGAGGCCGTATCCATCAGCTGGTCTCTGGTCTCCAAGAGAAGGGCTTTTAATGCGACATCCCCGTGGACACTAATATCAGCCTCACAGGGTTATTGTACGGTCTGACTGAGCTAGAGGAGGGAAAGGTGGTATAGACGTTTGTGGACTCTTGGGAGTCCTGTGGTTTAGCCACTGAAATGGGACCGTCTCACCTTCCAAATACATTCACTGACCTGTGTTAAAACTGACAACGTCCACAGAACGAGCAGTTACCAAAGATCACTCTTTTCTATCATTGATCTCCTGATCCCAGCCTGCAAAAGACCCCAGTCTGATTCAGAACTAAGTGGGAATGACTATCTGGGTCCTAAGAGGCCCCAAAACGAGGATAGGACGAGGCCCTGATCTCTGGAGTCAGAAGACCTTGGCTAGCACCCCGAAGCTGCCTCTGACAGCTTGGGAGATCGCTGGCCCTGTCTGGGACGCAGTTCGCTCCTCAGTTAAACAATGAGGTAGGATCAGATTGGCCTTAAGACTATTTCCAGATAAATACCCTGTAAGTCTTTTGAAGAATTTTCCAGATCTTCTATCCCCACCTCTCAACAAGGGCCTTTCACAACCAGTAACATTAATGCAAGAATTCTTGGCCAGAAAACTCCTATTGAATTATTTAAGAACCTAGGAGGGCTTCCCTTCTGGGTGTCTCTCCTCCAGGGTGGATCCTCCTCACCCCAACCCCCATGCATGAAGATCATCCCCAATTTGACCTTACGGCCAAAGAAAGAGCATCCTTCATTATGAAATATGTCACCTCAGACAAGACCTATATCCTGGAGGGAGAAAGGGAACATATGGGCCTGTAGACAGGCCTGCGGACTCTAAGTGCTCAATTCTAGGTGAGAACTGGGTTCGAATCCTTTCTCTGCTCCCAGAGTCATCTTGGATAATCAACCGACAAGCATTTATGAGATGCATCCTTGGTGTAAGGCACAGGGGATACACGGGCAAAGAAAGAAGCAATCCCTGCTTTCAAAGGCTGACCTTTGAACTTGATGTCCCTTGGCGTTCCTTCCCCGTGGAGCGAGGGGTTCAACCTTAACGGCCTATGAAGTGCTTTCTAGCCCTGTGTCTAAGATTCTCCGCTTTAAGTCACCTCCTCTCTGGGTCTCAGTTTCCTCGTCTGTTTGGAGGGAGCTGGGCCGGATATGCCCCACATGGATGATTCTGCGACCTGTGGTCTCAGGCATATGCTGTGTTCATTCAGTTGTCGTGAAGGGCAAGAAGACTCAGACGGAGAACCAGAAAGATCTGGGTTCGAATGCCATCTTTGCAGTCAGAAGCACAACCAAGCAGCCTTGAGGCCAGCATTCTGCCCTGGCCGGAGTACGGCCCACACAGACTGTTTTAGGTGCCGAGTGATTAGTGCAGTGGAGAGAGCCTCATGAAGCCTGGCTCCTCTACCCTACTTCAATGTATTACCTTGGCCAAGTCGTTTGCCTCATGTAGGCCTCAAAATCTTGATTTTAGAAAAGGGATCAGACTAGATTATCCCCAAGCACTTTCTAAGTTCTAACCTCCTCCATTCTTACATTTTAAGGTCTTCTAACCCATCTCTGATATTTCAAGTTCAAAGGCAACTCCTCACTCAGACATCCTTCGAGTGCTCAAGCCATGACCGTCTATGTTCGAAAGTGTCTCAGCTACAACACCTTCTGTTCTGTATTCTGAGACCCTCATTCCCCACCCCTTGCCCCGGCCCCACACTGGTCTGCCTTTCTTTCTGTCCTGTAGCTGACCTGTGAACCTGGTGCCGTCCCCCACGTTAGAATTCAAGCATCCCATCTTCTCATCCCCATGTTGTTGAGACGCTCCAGTCGTGTCCAACTCTTTCTGATACCATTTGGTGTTTTCTTGGCAGAGAAACAGGAGTGGGTAGCCATTTGCTTCTCCAGCTCATTTTACAGATGAGGAAACTGAGGCAAACAGGATGAAGTGACTTGCCCAGGGTCACACAACTAGCCAGTGTCTGGGGTTGGATATGAACTCAGGTCTTCCTGACTCTAGGCTTGGTGCTCTTTCCCCTGTGCCATCTAGCTGCCCCTTCATCATTCCTGTGCTCTCACTAATTAATCTGCAATGGCTCCCTGTCTACTGGATGCTTCCTTTCTCCCTACAAATATGCTTATGTCACCCCTAATCTCAACCCCCACTTGACCCATCCATCCCCATCTCATCATCCCATAGCTTTCCTCCCTTTCCTTGCTAAATTCTCTGAGAAGGCCATCTACAATTGGGGCCTCCACTTCCTCCTCTCACTCTCTTCTTAACCCCTTCTAGTCTGGTTTCCACCCGATCTTTCCAGCAAAGCCGCTCTCTCCAAAGTGACCAGGGATCGGCCTTTCCTCCGTCCTCATTCTCCTTGGCCTCTCTGCAGCCTTTGGGACTCTTGGTCGCTCTCTTCTCCTTGATCCTCTTTAGCTCGTTTAGAATACGCTCATGATTGAATAGAGGTCGCCACAAGCCGACAGGTCCACTGCTTAGCCCGTCTTCTTCGCACCCCTTCTCGTAGCGGGGTCTTCGATGTTCAGCTGTCAAACCCGCCTTCCCAAAGCTCAGGTTTGACTGTGTCTCTTCTGTCTTCAGTAAAGTCCAGGGCCTTCCCGTCTGCTCCAGGATCAAAGACAACGTCTTCTATTTGTCTTCTGAAGCCCTTCATGGCCTGGCCTCATCCTCCCTTCCCAGTCTTCCTGCACCCTATAAGTCATGAAGTTCGGTGCCTCTCCTCTGACATCATCTTCCATTCATCCTCTCTGGATCTTGTTTGCGTAGAATTGTTTGTCTGTTCTCTCCTCTGCTCCTTGGGAACAGGGACTATTTTCTGTCCTTTTCTGAATCCCTAGCACTTAGCACAGTGCTTAGCACACAGTAGACGCTCAATAAATACTCATTGACTTGCTTTGAGATTAGCAATCTTCTCACTTTCCTATTTCTATTTCTCGAGTTCAGCATGGTCTTTGGCACATAGCAAGCCCTCAATAAACACTTTCTCATTCTCTGACATTTTCTTATTTCCTCTCACAAAGGTCCTTCCCAGCTCTGAAATTCTATGTTCCATATAAGACTCCTTTGAGCTAGAACATTCGATGTCCTTGGTTCCTTTCATGCTCAGTCATCCTCTCTGTTCTAAGATCTAAAGTTCCCATAAGGTCTAACATTCTGTGCTCTGAAGTCTCCCCCAAAGTGGACATTGCCTTTTCTATGAGCTGAAGCTCCCTTGAGCTTGGCCATGTCAGTTCTGAATTCCTTCTCAGCTCTGACACTAATTCCAGGCTTACCTGAGGGCATTCAAGAGGCCTTCCACACTGTCTGGGGGTTGCTCCTTCAGCACTTTGATACAGCCTTTCATCTAGGAGAAGAAACGTCAGTCAAGCATCCCATAGGTCAGGAAAACAAGCACAACATCATGGCAGGTCCACATGACAAAAATCCTATCCAACTGCTGCCTGAGAAAAATCACTTCCTTTATTTTTCAGGGTGATAAAGGGAGGTCCAAGGAGGGGAAGGGACTAGCCTAAAGTCACATAGATAGGAGGTAACAAAACCTAGGACTCTTGGCCATAGAACTGGAAGCACAGGGTCTTGGCACTTAGAACTACAGAACCCATCCGGGTCAGCCATGACCTAATAAGAATCCTCTTTATAATAAAGCCAATTTGTGGTCAGGTAGCCTTTGTTTGAAGGCGCCTAGGTGGAACCCACTGCTTCCTGGGTCAACCTTCTGACTAGGAATCTGGGGTTCGAACCATTACACTACGCTACCTTTACATCTGTGGGCTCAGGGTGGGGAATGGAAAAGTCAGGGGAAAAAAAAGAGCAGTTGGGGGTGGAGAAGAGCTGACATCTGGGCCAGATTTCCCAGCAAGACCACCCTAGCTGGACCCTCACAAGGGTTTGCAGTTTTTACTCCACCTGAAATCCCATGATTAGAGAGCCATCTGGTGGCAAGAAGCCTGCTCTTTTGAACAATGAATGCCACTTGAAGGTTCCTGGGCACACAGTCAATCACACCTTAGAGTGAATTACTTTAATCAGCTTCCTAACACTCAGATGGGACAGGCTGGACTAAGGGATGGGATTTTTGGTAAGAGTAGTAGAGGAGATGAGAGTGTGAAGAAGTGGCAAAGTTTGGGAGGGCAAGAGAATGCTTGTATGAGGTACCCCTGTGGGCCAAGGGCAAAGGAGTGAGCAGGTGGAGATGGTGGAGGAGCAGTAATGCACAGCAAGTTTGGAAAGGCACGGTGTGGCCAGTTGTTTCAGCCCTTCCAGCTCTCATGTTCATGTTCCTTTTCCACTTTATGATTCTATGACGGGCAGAATCCAGATCAGAAGAGCCAAGAACACCTGCATTCTCTAAGTGTTTAACTTGTGAAACATTATCACCAGTGTCCCTTTTCTGTCTCTGTCTCTCTTTGTCTCTGTCTCTCTCTATTTTCTCTCTCTCCTATCTTCTCTGTCTCTTTCTCTCCTCTCCCTCCCTCCCTCCTTTTTTCTTTTCTTTTTTTTCTCCCTCCTTGTTTCCCTCCCTCCCATCTCCTCTCTCGACCACTCTCCATCTCTCCCCTGCTGGGCCAGGAACCCAGTCAATGTGGATTACTTATGAGAAGAGTCTTTCCTTGCCTGTCACCAAACATCACCCATAGCAGCCCAGTGGACTGGCTTATCCAGCATACCTGCTCCATGAGGATGTGGGGAGCCTCATTACCAGAGGTGATCTTTCCCATCAAATGCTTTCTCTGATCATCTCTTGGAGTTCTAGAAGAACTTCTAGAAGAAGCAAGCCCTCAATAAACACTTTCTCATTCTCTGACATTCTTGTTTCCTCTGACAAAGGTCTTTCCTGACTCTGAAATTCTATGTTCTATGTAAGGCTCTTTCAAGCTAGAACATTCAATGTCCTTGCTTCCTTTCATACTCAGATTTCCTCTCTTTTCCAAGATCTAAAGTTCCCATAAGTTCTAACGTTCTGTGTTAGACCTGACCACCGTGACAGCACCATTGAAAGGTTATTGACTGGAAAAATCTGCCTCCCCGCAGTCCTTACATCAATCTTGGACGTCTTACAGAAAGCCCCCACCGGGTGCACGTGGTCATAGAGGATGATGACGCCAACCATCACTCGCATACAGAAGAGTAGAGTTTCTTCACTGGTGAATCTACTTCGGTACTCTCTGGAACACAGAGGAAACGTCCATCAGCCCAACTGTTTCACCCACAAAGCCCAATGATCTGAATATCCCAACACTGGCTACCTGGGGTCATTAAAATGATCTCATCTGGACGTTCTCAGACACCCCTGGGGACAATAAACCAATAACAAGTCCAGCACTGAGCATTTTGCCAAGAACCCATCCTCCTGACCAGGCAGACCAAAAGAGAGCAGATGGGAAATGAAGAGGCAAAGAAATATCTTCCATATCCCCCTGGAGTGGGACTGGGAATTGCTCTCTCCTGCCAATGCCCATTAATTGTGGTTATTTTCTACTGGGTCTCTCTGGCTGCCCAAGAGTTTGGAGAATAATGACTCTGTTATGGAGGAAGAAGACTCTGGCTTGTTCCAATAGAAGAAGTGGCTGATCCTCAGCAGCAGTTGCTTATCTCCTTGAAACACGGACCATAGATCAGGATAGGAGCAAAGGAGAAGGCATGCATCCAGCAGGCAGAGAGCCTGAGAACACGGCTTGCATTCTATGCGCTCACTAGGGGCAGGCTGGTGGTCTATATATCCCAAGTCAAACAGAGATTGGAGAAAACTTCAGATAATATTTTCTGGGGAGGGGAGTAACCTTAAAGCAAAACAAACAACTTTTGTATTAAGAGAAAATTTCAGTGTAAGTGATATCGGGCTGTGTGAACACAGGCAAGTCACTTCTCTTTAGAACTCAGTTTCCCTCTCTGTAAAATGGGTCAGTGATCTTTGCACTGCCAAACCTCATAGTTTAGTTGTAAGGAAGGCATTTTGTGCACCCAGATACAGGAAGCACTGGCTTGGGAGTCAGGAGAGCTGGGTTCGAATCCCTCCTCAGACACTACCTGTGTTGCCTTGGGGAAGCACTTTGCCCCTCTGGTCTATAAGAAGATGTAGTTGGACTCAATGACTTCTAAGGTCACTTTGAAGTTTAGATCTAAGGTCTCACAAACTTCTACATGCTAAAGAAACAGGAGTTATTTTTATTGGCATTGCTGCAGCCCTCCATGCCAGAGTCCACATAAAGTGCCAGCCACGTGCCTGGATTTACTCATCTGCCACTTTAGGGCTTGCAACAAGAATGCTATGACAAATCCAGAAGGAAGACTGTTTTTCTGGACACAGAGACAGGGTTGAAATGACGATAACATCCACAACTACGGATAACCAGGAAGTGAAAAGAAATCACTCTGTAAGGCAGATGCCCCCATTTTATAGACAGGAAAACTAAGACTCAGAGGATAAGTGGCTAGGCATGGCCACTGGGCTGGAGCACAGACCCTCCTGACTCCAGATCCAGTGCTGCCTCCACTTTCCCTCAGGGACCCTCATCACCAGTGGGAATGACCTGGAAGAGAGCTCTTGGGCTCAGTCTGGCCATGGGAGGATGACTCAAACACACAAGGTCGCCTTCTAATATTGCTCCAGACCCTTGAGGGGCTTTTCCATTTATCTTCCCCCACACTCAGTCACAGACACCCAACAATATACACAGCACAGGCCAACCGGCCACTGCTGGCCCCCAGCACCTCTCAGTGACTGGCAGCCGCCTTGACTTACGGGGTCTCCAGCATGACTTTACACACACTTATCATCGTGCTAAGGCAGTCTGTTGTGTTTTCAATGGGCAGGGTTTTGTTCTAAAAAGAAGACACAAGAGACGAGAACATCCCTGTGAGTCCCGCTGCCTGCATCCCATCCCCCACCTCCCTACCCGAGGACACTCACCTCGGACACAAAGTATGTTGTGGCATTGCTGAGGGTCTTCAGCATTGGGGTGGCTTCTGCATAGAAGAGGGACATTCGGTTGGCCATCTCATTGTTGACTTCATTTTCGATGTCTAGCTGATGGAAGGAAGGAGAGAAGATGGCATTTATAAAAAGTGGGTCCCAGCTGCCAGGCAATGGGGAGGAGTGGGACCTGAGTTCAAGTCTCTATTGCTGGTTGTATAGCCCCGACTCTTCCTCTCAAGTAATCACAAGCTCCTTATATCGTAGAGATGCTATCCTGTAAAGGTGGAGCAAGGAGTGACCTCAGGGCCATCTAGACCAACCTCATTTCACAGATGAGGAAACTCATGATGTGACTTCCCCAAGGCCACACAGGCAGTAAGTGGCAGGCAGAGCTAGGCTTGGTACTGAATTCCTGTCTCCAAATCCAGAACCCTTCTAATTCAGCGTGATGTCCTTCTGCCTCAATTAGACTGAAGCAGGGTCTGTGCTGTACCTTTTGGTCCATTTATCATTATCATCATCATCATCATCATCATTATTATCATTATTATTATTTTACAGAATCATAAAGTTAAACCTGGAGGGGACCTCAGAGATTATTAAGGCCAATACCCTCATTTTACAGATCAGGCAACTGAGGCCCAGAGATGAAAAATGACTTGTCGAAAGTCATAGAGGCAAGAAGGAGGGGAAAAAGGATTTGAACTCAAGATCCCCGATCACAAATCCAGTGATTTTCCCACTGTGTCATATCGCCTTATCATTTATCACAATGTCATGCATACAGAAGGAGCCTAATAAATGTTTACTGAATTGTATGTCCACTTCTCATCAGTGTCTGTTTGTCTTTCTCTCCTGGCCCCCATGGCTCCAATGATTGCTACCATGCAGATGACTCCTAGATCTATGAATCGAGCCCATCCCCCACCCCCAGACATTATGTTCACATCACCAACTCCTTGCACAGTATCTCCACCAGGATGTCCTGCCACCGCCTCATATTCAATGTGGTCAAAACAGAACTCACTATCTTGTTCTTGAGTCCCGTCTCCCTCCTCTGATCTAACCCTATTTCTTTGAGGGCAGCTCCACACAGATGGATTCTCCCCATTACAAATGTATTCCATCTTAGAGCCAGAGGGAATCTCAGCCCTCTTCTCGCCTCCCGCCCCCCCCTCCCCGGCCCCAGTTCCAACTCCAGCTGGTTAATGCTTTCTTCTGCAATATCCTCAATAAGTGGTCTTCCAGCCTTGGCCTCAAGGCTTCCTATGGAGAGAGCCCACCACCCTTGAGGGGCTTCATTCCACTTGGAGACAGCTCTCATTGCTTGGAGGTTCTTCCTGCCATCTAGCCTAAATCTGTTTTTTTAAACTTCCCCCTGTTGCTTCTGGTTCTGTCCTGGAGGCCAAGCAGAACAAGCCTCATCTCTCTTTCAATGGCCAGCTCTTCAAATATTTAGTGACAGCTAACATATCCTCCCCCATCCCCCACTGCATTCCAAATCTTTCTCCCTGGTTCAATAGACCAGAGTCATTCTTGACTCTTTGGTCTCCTTCAGCCCAACATGCAATAACTCAACAGATCTTGTCAAATTTTCCTCCACCCATCCCTTCTCTCTACTCACATGACCACCATCTTAATTCAGCCTCATCATTTCTCACATTGACTATTGTAATGGACTCCCAGCTTATAGTCTCTTCCCTAGCCAGTCCATCTTCTCAAAAGACAGCAAAATAACCTTCCTACAGCAGAAGTCCAACCACAACACACCCCTGCTTAAAAGTCTTTAGTGGCTCCTTTGGTTAAAATATGAATTTCTATGCCTAGCATTTAAGCACCCTCCCCACCCGACAGTAGCCCCCCAACCTGTACTTGGAGATTTGTTTCATACTAGCCCCCCAGAAACTCTACATTTCAGCTGTATTGGAGCCTAATTATTCCACGCACTCCATCTGCTTTCTCCCATTTGTGTTTCCATGGAGGTCATGTCCAATGATTGGAATATTCTCTCTCTTTACATCAACCTGCTGATATCCTTCTTTAAGATCAAATTAAGTTTCCACCTTCCCCATGAAGTGTTCCTTGGTTCCTTGGAATTGCTCCGTCCTCAAATCTTCCTGGAACTTTGTCTGAACCTCTTTTTCTCCTATACCTTGTACAGTAGTTATCTGTGTGTGTGTCATATGTCCCCCTACATCAAGAAGACTGTAAGCTCCATGAGGGTAGGATCTATATTCCCCATACCCCCAAGATAGCCCTGCATGGGTTATTATAGACGGTAAGCCTTTAATAAATGCTTTTCAAGGACAGACTTTGTCGTTTGTTGTTACATTGTTCATGGAGTTGTAAATTAATCCATTCTGGAGAGTAATCTAGAATTATGCTGAGCGTTAATAAAATGTCCACACCCTTTGACCCATAGATTCTACTGGTAGATATTATTCAATAGAAAAAATTATAAAGAAAGGCCTAATACATGCCAAAATATTTATAGCAGCAAGTTTTGTGGCAGTAAAGAATTAGAAACAACATAGATGCCCATTGATTGGGGAAAGGTTAAACCAGTTGTGGTACATGAAGGAAATGGAATATTATCAAGCTGTAAGAAAAGATGCATATGGATGAGAAGAACTATCTGAGTCAATATTGGGTGAAGGAAGTAGAACCAGAAAAATAATTCACCCAGTGACGATAGCCACAACCCAAGCTCAGTGTTGTTGTGAGATGGTAGTGACCAAGCTTGGCCCCAGGGAAGAGACACCAGAAAGCATCTCCCCTGTGTGGATGGAGGACTGTGGGTGAGACAGGACAGAGGAGAGCAAGCCTTTTTTTACAACATGTTTGCTAGTTTTCCTTAATCTTCCCTCCCTCAATTTATAATTCTTTATGATAAGGGATACTTTGGGGGGGGGTGAATGTAGGTGACACAAAGATAAAAGACATCCACCACACTTTATTTAAAAAATAGTTTTTAAGCAGAATGACCACCATTTTTCTTCCCATAACTTTCTCTCAAACCTCTCCCCCAAAGTAGAAAAATGGAAATAAAATACACGTAGGGCAGTCCACAGCCCACACACTGAACCTGCATGCTTACGTGCATATTGTTGATCCGATTGCGGCTTATCGTCCTCCTGTAGTAGCTGAAGTCGTTCTGTATCGCAGGGTTTCTCATCTGGAAGGAGACAGAGCAGAGAAGCGTTGGCCAGGTCCTGTGTCAGGGGCACATGCAGCCGAGCAGGGTGCTTCATCATTTGTGTGCTCTGGACCCCTTGGGCCGTCTGGCGAAGCCAGAGCCTACCACGGCTTGTTGCCCACATTCGTAATTCAAGGAAATGCCAGGTTTCATTTGGAGCTGGGTTCCTGTCCACATCCATGGACTTCCTGGTATCTATCCCATGTTAGGGACCCCTGAACTGGAGAGGCTACAAAGACACCTGGGAGCATCAAGGATGGAAGCCCCCACCTCACCTTCAGTTCATCAAAGCGTAGGGTGAAGTGCAGGATCTCGGCAAACTCCTTGGCCAGAGCCTGTTCTCTCTCCAGGTGCTGGGTGGGGGTGTAGGGTGGGCACGTCAGGCATTCCAGAAGATTCTGCAGAGCTTTCTCTGAAAGGTAAAGCCATGAACACACACCAGCCCCCTTTCCTGACCGTCAGCCCCTGACTCAGGGGAAAGAGAAATGAATTTGAAACCAGAGGATGTCCAACCCCAGCCCTTCCACTTTCTTATGTGGAGTCTTAGGAAAAGTCTCTGCCCCTTTCTGTGTCCTTGTTTTCACACGAAGGGATTGGAGCCAGGGGTCTCTAAAGTCCTTCTGAGCTCTCATCCTGTGACTCTACATCTCAGAAGTAACCTGACTTCCGTCTTTCCCTGTGAGCTTATAGAAGGAGGGTGAGGGGAAGAGGATGTGTGTTGGAGGAAGAGGGGAATGCTGACATGCCCCAATCCTCACTTTAACTCTCTGGGCTTCAGTTTCCTCCTTTCCAAAAAGGGGACAACAATCCTTGTACCACTGACCTCCCAAGGCAGTTGTTTGGCTTCCAAAGGAAAAAGCAGGCGGTGCTCTATATGTGGGAGTTACCATCAGAAGAGTATCAAAGCATCAGATTGAGATTTTAAAAACAGATCAATAAAATGAAGCTGAAAATGTGAACTCACCGAGCCGGATGGAAAATTCATAGAACCTCTTCAGCCGGACGACAAGTGGACACACTGCATTCCAAGCCTTTTCTTGCAGCTGGATGTCGTTGGGATTTTGGATTGCCTACAAGGGAGAAACCGTGGGATATCATGGATAGAGAAGCTGCCCCTGAGCCAGGAAGACCTAGGTCCAAGTACTGTCCCTGAAACATACTGGTTGTGTGACCCTGGGCAAGTCACATAACCTCCCCAGAGCCCTGGATGGTGCTCTAAGATCCAAGTCATGAAGAAGATGCCAACTTGCTTCGGTAGAGGGAGCTTCCTCATTGGAGAACTTCCTATGCCATGAAGTGTCAGGTTCAGCATCTATCCTTACCCCTCCAGAGGCATGGAATAATTCATCTCATTCAAGTGATGAAGCTTAAATATGCAGAGAACACTTTCTGACTCTCGTATTCTGTGTTCTAAAGTTCTATGTTCTAAGGAACCTTCAAGTTCTAATATTCTACAGGCTAAGGTTCCTTCTAGGTCTAACATTCTAGATGATTAGGTTCTTTGTTCTAAAGTCTCTACAGATTCTAACACTGGATGTTCCAGAGGTCTAGGTCCTAAAGTACCTCTTAGTTGTAATACTTGTGTTCTAACATTCTGTATCTTAAGTTCCCTTTAAGTTCTAACGTTCTGTATTCTGAGGTCACTTTAATTTTAGTAATCTCTGTTGTAAGGGTCTATGTTCTAAAGTTATTTCATGTCCAGTTCTAACATTAGTTAGTTGCAAGCCCTAAGACTTTTGGGACACCCTGTATATATTCCAAGATCATTGTCATCTCCTACATTCTATGTCTCAAGGTCCTTTCTAGAACAAACATTCCACATTCTAAAATTCTGTTTTCAAAAGGTATTTCCAATTCTAACATTGTGTGTTCTAAGTTTCACATTCTAGGGTATAGTTTTGGGGCAGTATAGAAAATAACAACAACAAGAAGCCTGGAATCTGCTTCTTTTACCTACAAACACTTCTTAGGACCTACTATGTGCAAGGTACTATGCTAGAACCTACACAGCCAGTGCCATATTCTGTGACAAGTGGTCTCCTCCAAGATGGTTCCTTAGCTCCTTCTGAAGAACCAGCCCAGAGATTTACATCCTGAAACCCCCCCCCCAATCGGTCTGCTACTAACATGGCCCTGAACAAGGCTTCCATTCCTTCCCTTGTGAGGTGTCAGTGAGAGATGTTCTGAAAGACCAAATTCAGACTCCCTTCTGACTAAAGACAATAACAAGTCTTCTGTTCTCGAAAATCATCTCCTTTGAGTGCTGGAAGTGGGAAATTCAGATGGCTAGGACTCTTGCCTCTCATATGTGCCATCCCCCTTCTTCCTCCACGCCTCCCAAGTTCAGTCCCTCGTCTGCTCTCCTCTGGACTGTTGCAATGGCCTCCTAGCACATCCTCCTGCCTTCAGTCTCTTCCCACTCCCATCAGTCCTCCATGTGACGGCCAGTGATTTTCCTAAAGCACTCATCTGACCATGGCACTCACTTCATCCAAAAGCTCATACTGTGGCTGCCTCTGACCCAAGGAGAAAGTATTGGCTTCTCTGTTAGAGGTTAGAGGCTCTGTTAGAGCCCTGTAGAATCAGGCTCCCAACTCCTGTCACAGATGCCTTTCACACATCTCCTGCTTCCTAACTGAACAGCCAACGTGCTGCTCACTGGAGGTGAGAGTGCCCGGCCCATCTTGGCGCACTGCCCCCGTGCCATGTTTGGGATGCTTTCTCTGCTTGTCTCCACCTCTCAGAATCAGCCTTGGCATCCTTCAAACTATTCAAAAGCCGCGGCATGGGCCCTTCCCTGACTCATTGGCGAGCCAGCGCTTCTCCTGCAAATAATTTTTTATTGATTTTATCTATGTTTTTGTACTTGCTTGTGGATGTACATGATATTTCCCCCAATAGAATGCAAAGTGCCGGAGGGCAGAGGCCATTTGATCCTTGTGTCTATGTCCTCTGTACCAGTAGTGTCTGGTACATAACAGATGTATAATCAATCACTTTATTAAGTGACTATTATGTGCCAGGCACTATGCTATAAATGTTTGTTCAATGAATGAATGAATGAATACTGTGCCAGGCACTGTGCTGGCTACTGAGGATTCAAAGCCAAAAGCAAGAGGTCCCACCCTCAGTGAGTTTCCTAGGAGGCTGCAACATGTATGCATCAAAGTATGTCCAATGTTATTTCAGAAGGGGGCAATCACCCATAAATAGAGAAATCAAAGGAGCTTCCCGGAGGAGGTGACACCTGATGAATCATCTCTGAAGGCATAGATTGACTATGAGAGGCAGGGAGAAGGAAGGGTGCACTCTTAGAAGAGGGGGCAGCCTGTGCCAATGGTGCACTCTTGGCATAGGGGGCAGCCTGTGCCAATGTGAGGCTGGAGATGGAAGGATGAGTTTGGGAAATAGTAAGCAAGGTCACTATGGCTAGAACACGGGACCTGTGAAGGGGAGTGATCAGAAACAAGGTTGCCAAGGAGGCTGGACCAGGTTGTCAAGGGCCCTGAATGCCAACCCGAGAAGACTATTTTTATTTTACATTCACAAACCACTCTAATGTGATAGGAGGAGGATGGGTTGGAGGCAACATGGGGCAGCAAGCAATAGGAGTGGTGGATCTGCATTTAGAAGTCCTTTACTGGAATCCCTGGCTTTGCCACTCGATGCCTGCGTGACCTTTGGCTGCAGTTTAATCATCCATAAAATAGGGAAATTGGACCAGCTGACACCTAAGATCTCTTCCAGTTCTAAATCTATGATCCTGGGATGATCTGAAGGGGAGAGACCTGGAGAGAATCAGCGTCACCCCACCCATGATATGGGGTTGGCAATGTCAGCAGCAGTGGCTAGAATGGGAAGGAGTTGCTAGAAACTAGCCTTATCATCACATGTTTGTTTTCCTTAAAGAGCAGACTGGTTAATGACTATACAAGTGAAAGCTGGAACACTAAATCATTATGTGAAAGGCGGATGTTGAACCCCGAGTGTGCATGTCTGGATGTGGGGGTAAGGGGTGGATACAACGTCTGGTTGGATGAATTTCCTAAAATAAAAGGGACCATTCATACATTGGCTTAAATGCACATTACATCCCCTGTTCTTTCCAGGATTCTAGGAAATACTGCAGCGATGACTTCATTCCCTCCTTCTCCATCCTCACCCCCTCCCAGTCCCCCCTCCGCCGTTGTCAGGACAATATTATCATTGGCTTGGCTTACTCACATCACGGATCTCCTGGCCAGCGCCTTTGTAAGCCTGCAGGTCTGTGAGAATGCTCTCCGAGTCCTGGAGGACGGCACTGACCTGGTTCCAGATTTCCCTCTCGCCCTCCGTGGGCTGAGCATCTAAGCAACGTGGAAAACAGGACAGACACACAGACACACAGACACACATGGCATCAGCTTCACACAACTTCACCAGGGAAAGTCCATTCAGTTCCCCTTAGGCTGATATCTCAGGGTGAGAACAATGGCTTCTCATGCTTCTGGATTTTGCCTTTTGAAGACTAGACTAAAGCACAAGGACCAGAAATTGGCCCAGAAATAGGAATTTTTCTTTTCAATTCTACAAACCTTCTTTACTTAAATACCTACTGTGTGCATGGCCCTGTGTGTGGCACTTGGGGATGTAGTTGTGGAAACCACCAAGTGTCACCTTCGAGGAGTGTATAGTTTAATAGGAGGTAGGCTCAAGTCAATCCCAGAATCATTGACTGTGTGTCTGATATGTAGGAGGCTCCTATTGAGAATAACGTCCTGCCTGGGATATATACCAGCTTTGTGATCATGGACAAGCCACTGAACCCCCTTCAGGCAACTTTCAGATTAACCAGTAAACATTTGCCAAGAGCCTAGCATGTTCCAGATACTCTGCCAGGAGCTGGGTATAGAAAGACAAAAACAAGACTCTAGGGTTACAGATAATCAATTACAGGAATTTTGAATTGCACAAACGGATGGCGTTTCCATTTGTGAAGTCCTCAACTGGGACGATACCACAGACCCAAATCTCCAGTTACTAAACACGGTCAATGACAAGTATTTTAAAGCACCTACTATGTGCCAGGGACTGTTTTAGCTGATGGGGGTAAAAAGAAAGGCAAAAGATAGTCAGTCAATAAACAGTTGTTAAGCGCCTTCTATGTGTCAGGCACTGTGCTAAGCTCAAGAGTAGTGGCCGCTCTCAAGGAACTCATAGTCTGTCTTATGGGAAGAAAAAATGTAAACAACTACATATAAACAGGCTATAGACAGGACAAGTTGTAGATGATCACCAGAGGGAAGGTACTAGCATTAAGGGGGATTGGAAATGGCTTCTTGGAGAAAGTGGAAGTTTAGTTGGAACTTAAAGAAAACCAGTGAAGCCAGGAGGCGGAGACAGGGAAGAAGAGAGTCTCAGGCCTGGGAGAAGTCTGGAGACGGCGTGTAGGAGGCAGGCCTGTGTCATTGGGTGGTAGAGTGTGGGGGAAGGGGAGTGTAAGGCATAAGAAGACTGGAAAGCTGGGGGAGTGGAAGGTTATGGACGGATCTGAATGCAAAAGACATGTGAACAATGTAAGACATGGAGGGGGGAGAAGACTGAGCTTTCAGTGAATGATTGGGGTGTTTTCAGTGAAATATGAGGCAAGGTTCTTAACTGAGAAGATAGCAGGAGGGGCAGGGTAGATTATGGGAGGTTTAAGGATTGCCTAGCCACAGAGAGGGCCCAATTGAGATGATGCGCCAAAAAGTTAGAGTGGGCTCAATCACCAAGGTTTTGTGATTTCCCCCAGTTGCATTCAGTGGCAAGTGGGAGCATGTGAGAGAATGTGCTCAATGCTAGAGCTACAAAGAAGGGAACAAATTCAGGCCCCCAAACCATAGGAGTTTATGATCTAATTGTAAATGGGCAAGAGAATCGGCAGATTTCATTGCACAGCCATCTTCAGTGACATTTGAAAAAATATGGAAAATGGAAGGGATGCCATAAGGTTGAAAAGGGGCAAATGCTGCTCTTGGTTTTTTTTTTTTTTTTTTAAAAAAAAGGAAAACAACACTTGCAAACTTTGGAGCAATGTGCTTGACTCCATTCATGGGAAAATTCTAGAATGGCTCATGAAGAGTGGTTGGCCAACATTTTGAAAGGGAAAAAGTGATTGCAAGGATGGTTTTGATCTTGCCAGACTAAGCTTGTTTTCTTTATCGATGGGAGTACTAACATAGTACATGGGAGAATGCTGTGGGTATAGCTTACCTAGATTTTAGCAAAATTTTCAGCATATTTCCCATAATTTTCCTATGGACAGGAGGAAAGATAAGGATTCAAATAGTATCATCAGAGGATTCGAAACTTAGTGGGACTCAGAGTAGATAGAAACGGTTAGAGTCAACATGGCAGGAAATCTCTAGTGGAGTAACCCAGGCATCTATGTCTGACCCTGGGCTATTAAACATTTTTTTTTTAGTGACTTGTGAAAGGAATAGATGCTGGGAAGGCTGGCTAACACACTGGATACAAAGTGTGGATACCAAAGGATCTTGGTGAGTTAGAGTATTGGGGTGAGTCCAAGGTGAAATTCACCATGAAGTCTTCTACTCATGTAAAAAACCATCCTCAACACTACAAGATGGGAGAGGCATCTGTTAGAAAGCAGTAGTTTTGAACAAAGATCTGGGGATTTCAGTGGACAGCAAACCCAATGGGGATTTCAGTGGACAGCAAACCCAATGTGGAATCAAGAAAATAAACACAATTTTGGATTGTATTACTGGAGGCAAGGCTTCCAGGAATAAGGAGGTGATGGGTCCACTATTAGCTGATTTCCTCAGACGTTGTCTGGAGTAAGAGTAAAGCTCTGGGTGCCACTGTTTAAACAGTACATTTATAAACTGGAAAGAGTCCAGGGGAAGTCAAGCAGGGCTTTTAAGGGCCTTGACCTCATGTGATATGATGACAAATGAAAAGATTTGAGGGTATTTAGCTTGGAAAAGAGGAGATTAGGGGGTGGGGATGTAATGGCTGTCTTCAAGTATTTGAAAGGCCACCAACTAGAGAAGGGATTTGACTTTTTCTGTTTGCCAGAACCCAGAGCAGTGGATAAAGGTAGCTGTTTTTGCAACATGGTATGGTATCCAGGCTTATTCAGATCCATTTGGCCCCAGCCCTTGTAAACCAGCAATATAGAGAATCAGTAGAATGTTAGCTAGGATAGATTAAGTGACAGGGCCAATGGCACACAGCATCAGAATTTGAACCCAGCTCCTTTGGTGACCAAGCTGGTGTTTGCTCCCCAATTTGTTGTCCTGTGTTTCTTTTGGCAATGGCCTCTCTCCAGATTTCATCTAATGACGGCTTTCTACTACTGCAGTGATTTCCAATAATTTCAATGTCATTCTCAAAGATGGTTACATAGGCCAGGAAACCCTGCTGTTTTAACAAGGAAGCCCTTAAAGTCCCTGTGATTTACACAAGCAATTTCAGAAACCAATACTTTCCACAGCCTGAGGAAGCAGCCCATGCAGCCCCTGACATGGGGGATGATTTACACACCTGTTCTGGACCCACGAAAGCCGAGTGTATTACAGCACACCCCCTGCCCTCTGACCTTGCCGACATACATCTACTCACTGAATTCAAAGTGCCCAGTGCCTGGAATCCAACACTTGCAGGATTTGTCAGGGAAGGAGACTCAGGCCAGAGCGATGGAGGTTTTCATCAAAAGGATTTCACCTCATTTGGGAGAATTTTGCCCCCAAGTGATGGTGAATATCGACTGTCAATATGTCGATAAGAATCCAGTTTCATGTTCCCGCTGACCCCTTTCGTTGGGGAATGCAGCCCTTTCATCCCAGGTGGAATAAGAAGCATACCCCTGTCAACAGAGCTGAGGAAAGGTACCACCAGGCTTGGCTGACTGGGAAAGCTTTTGTCAGAGAGATCAGATGCCCGACTACAATCAGGGGCCTCTGAGAGGGTGATCATTCCCAGAGTGCATCCTTAGAATGTTAGACCAGCCAAAGTCTTATTCAGCCTCTAAACCAGCCACGAGAGCAGAGAATTCATCCCTGCAGACTCGCTGAACCAGCTACACAATTTGATCGATGATTTTTTTTTAAATGCCAAAGATCACAGGCGGTATGCAAGGCACCATTTATTCTGAGGTGTCTCCAGCCCTCTGAGGACGGGCTGGCTTTGGCACCAGGATCTATGACTCGCTCAAGGCCCTGGGGGCCACTGCACAAACACTGTTGGGGCAAATGAAGAAAGAGACACACAGCAAAGCCTTCCTGGCTCTATCAATCACAGTGGTGCTTTTTTTTTTTTTTGTTCTTCTTTGGGATAAACCAAGGGACATAAATTATGATCTATTATTAACATTTGAAGATGTAAAGTGGTAACGATTTATAGGAAGGCATTAACAGCTCAGAGAAAGGGGGAGGGGCATCAAGATACAGAGGTAAGTGTGAAAGCACACGTTTGATTTGGCTGACACGTTTATGTCCACGGGGACATCCGTCACCCCTCACCACGGAGCCTCAGCCTTCTGTAACGAGGGTCCAGCAGCTCCGTTTCTGAGACGGAGGAGGCTCACACTCAGCCCTCCCTACATTTAGACGGATAAGATCTTGTGAGGTAGAAACAGGGAGCAGCACCTCCTGTTCCCATTGTCTCTCTCCTCCAATGCATCCCCACCCAGCAGCCAAGCTCACCGTCCCTTTAAAGTCTGGTTCTGACCTGGCCCCTTCCCTACTCAAGAACTGCAGCTTCAGCTCAATTCAATTCAATTGATTCAGCAACCATTAATGAAACGTCTACTAAAAACAAGGTACCGTTGACACAAAAACAAAAACAAATATAATAAAAGAGCCATCCCTGGCCTCAAGGAACATTCTTTTTATGGGAAGGAGACCTGATCTGCTGGTAAGCTAGTGCTTTACCATCTGGTTTCCGCCATCTTTTTCAGACCCGTCTCACATTATTGCCTCTCACATACTGTCTTCTAGTCGAGCGGGCCGACCCGACGTGCTGTTTCCCAGACCCATTTCTGCCCCTACCTCTTTGCTTTTGCACAATCAGCTCCTTCCCCTTGGATATGGTCCCTCCGCATTTTTACCTCTTAGGGTTCCTGCCTTCTTTCAGGGGATCAGAGCTTTAGAGATAGAAGCAATCTTAGAGATTAGCAAGTCCCATCCCTTTATTTTATACATGAGAAAACTGCGGCAGACAAAAGTCAAGTGATTTGCCTAGGATCACCCAACTTGAGTTTTGAGGCAGGATTTGAGCTCGGGTCTTTCTGATTCCTAGCCTAGTGTTCTAGCCACCGCACCATACCGACTGACTTTCAAGGTGCCACCTCCTACAGTCTTTCCCAATCCCCGATTGGTCAATGTTGTCTCCCTCAATTTATCTTGCATTCTCCTCCTGCCCTCTGCCCCCCCAAGTATGATGATGGACAGAAGAAGATCCTTGAAGGGTGGAACTTTGTATCAGCAGCACCAAGCCCAGTGCCTTGCATTTGGTGGATATCCTCCATTCCCCACCCCAACTTTCTCTGGCTCCCAATAACCCTGCCCTAGTTTAGACTTTCATCTCCTCTTTTCTGGTCTGCTGTGAGGGTTTCTTTATTAGTCCCCTGATCCCCAGGCTCTCTCCCTCCAGTCCAGCCTTCACTCAGCTGCCAATGGGATATTCCCAAAGCTCAGGTCTGACCCCATCTATCTCCTGCTGAATAAATATCTCCCTATGGCCCTAGGTTCAAACAGATGCTCTTGAATGTGGCATGTAAAGACCCCCATAATCAGACCCTTATAGAGTGACTGCACATTATGCCTCTCTGCACACTCTGTGTGCCAGCACATTGGTGTACTCACTGTTCCTGCTCTCCATTATCTGTTTGCTGTGCCTGGAATTCTGTCCCTCTTCACCTCTGCCTCTTAGAATAACTGGCTTCCTTCAAATCACAACTACAGCACCACATCCCACTGAGGCCTTATATGGTCCCTTAGTTGTTGGGCCCACCCCCACCTCGGCTGACATGGCTTTGTATGTATTTTTACTCACTTTTCTGTGTCTACGCTAGTAGAATAACCCCCTCTGAGGACAGGGACTGACTGCTTCTTTTTCTCCCTTTTCAGTATAGCCCCTCACATGGTGCTCATTGAATTGGTTTCAGTGGCCAACCTGGGACTGCACTCCCTTGGAGAGCATGCTAGAGCCCACCCTACGATGGGACAGTGGAGAGAAGTGTTGATCTTAGGACTCTCCCAGTCTGCTGCAGCTCCTAACAAAAAGTATCTGAGAGGAAGGCTGGGCTGAAGAAGGAAACAGGCAGAATAAAATGGTGGAATTTAAACACCCCAGTGGGTTCAAACCTGTGGGTCATTAGTAGAAAGTAGAGCCTTCCTCTCCAAGGTCTGATGACAAGAGGAGGGGGAGGGGAGCTCATTCCAGACAGTTGGGACCCTTGGCCTAACACAGAGGGCTTAACTCTGAAACACTTTCCCTCAGTTCAATTAGACTCCTTCAACTCTGCTCAATTATATTTCATCATTGACTTCAAAAGGAACGTGTGACATTCGCAACTTATTTGCTCTTTGAAAAACAAAAGTCCAAGGTGCCAAATACGTTTAAGTGTTCCCCCTCCCCCTTGGCCCTTCCAGAAACACTGACTGTGCCCAGTGAGTGGGGGGTGGGGGTGGGGGGGTCTTTCATGAATTCTTCCAGTTTTTCTTTCATCTTGGTTGCCAGCGTCCCTCAGAGAAAGGCAATTTCCACTGCCATAAAGCTGAAGTTGGGGCTTTTCCTCAGCTCCCAGACTCCCCTCGCCCCACCCTTGCTAAAGCACTGGCTCAAACAAGACTTTTGGCACTGATTCAACCTGACAGTCCTGGCCTTGGTGACAAACCAGTTGGGCACCAGAGCTGAAGTGAAACTAGTCAGCTTGGTATACTCCAAGTTGGGAGTCAGGATCACAGCTCATCGGTCACGGAGCCAGAGCGAAAAGGAGCCTCAGACGCAGCTGCCAGAGTGCCCTCAATTTACAGAGGAGGAAACTGAGACTCGGGGACTTGTTCTCAGTCGCACAGGTCATGAGCATCAGATATGGGATTTGAACCTGGGTTTTCTCTCTCTAGAACTATAGCTCTTCCCACCGCACTACCATTGTCTCCAAGACTTAGAGCTCACTGAGACCCAGAAAGGTGATCTACCCAATGTCACCTCGACTGTCTAAGGTGGGACTTGAACCCAGGTCTTCTGGATTCCTGTATGACCTTGAACAAGTCCCTTTCCCAATCTGGGGCTAGTTTTCCTCTTTTTTAAATCGAGGGGAATAGATCTGAAGTTCTGAAGCCAAATCCTCTTGCATTCAGAAATCAGACTTACAAGGTAATAAAGTTTAGACACATGTGCATTAAGCATGTTATAGTTATATTCATATGGACTTTGTTTTTATTCTTTTTAATAAAAACAGGATTGAGCCTAATGTGAAGGAAAGAACTCTATGCTTAGAGTCAAAAGGTCTGAGTCCAAGACTTATATCTGTTAGCTGTGTGACCTTGTGTGAGTCATTTCTCCTTTCATCTTCATTTCCTTCTTTTTTCAATAGGAATAATTCTACTCACACTATGGCCTTATAGGGTGGTTATGAGGGATGAGATTTATAAATCTAAAACTGCTCTAGCCATTGGCAGCCATTTTTAGATGCTGCTCACCTGGTGCCTACAAGATGGAAAAAAAATAACCCCATCAATGAAACAATGACTTTATAGTTTCATATTTAAAAGTCCAAAAGCTGTTAGTACCCTTGCCCCCTAAAATATTTTGTTTTGCTTTGCGTATATTTTGTGCAGACAGAGATAGTGCAGTGGACAAGAGGCTGGCTTCAGAACCAGGATGACCTAGATTCAAGCTCTGCCTCAGACATATCCTGGCTGTGGGACCCCGGGCAAGTCTCCCTGTGACTGCAAGTGGCAGAAAAAGATGCTGGCCTGTATTGATGCATGGAAGTTCTTCACAAGGGAAGGTACTGATCACAGATCTAGTATGGTAGAAGGGAAGAGAACTCACTCTAGGACGTCACTTTGCCGTGTTTTTTGGAACACTTTAATATCCATGTTTAACAAAATAAACATGAGGTTATTTTTATTTCAGAATGAAATAAAATATGGCTAGAGACCATGGTTAGTTAGAAATTGGCAAAGGAATCAGTAATGACAGGAAGAGACACGTGATATTTCCTAAAACTAAAAAAAAATACTTAATAATATATTTTACATAATTTTGAAAATGAATAATATATGAATATATAGTGTTTTAATATTTGAAAAGAGCTTTATATACATTATCTGATATGAGATAATACACAATTAGCATCTTGGAATAAAAGAGAAGTAAGACCAAGATCAAAATATGAATCTTTCTATTTCTTTCTTTCTCCCCAACCTTGAAAGTTAAATTTTGTTACTCAAGGCAACGTTCCCTGGCTGATGGCTGGCTTCCACTGAACACGTAGTGGATCCATGGCCCTGAGGGAAGGTTGGAGGTCCCTCTCATCTCTGACAGTCTATGTTTTATGTTCTAAGGTCCCTCCAAGCTCTGATGTTCTAGGATCAAAATTCAAAAGCCTATATCTCATGTTCGAAATGGGTCAATGGGCTAATATTAGATTCTTGCTTTACTTCTTAAATGTGTTTGCAGACCACTAACATGACACTTTTTTCTCTCCAATTCAACTAATTTCCCTTGTCCTTACTCATTTCGTTGCCTTGCATTTTCAAGGTAATTTAAAATATATGTATTCTTAAGGATTTTCAATGTCTTAGTCTAGTTTCAGTTTCTTCTTTCTGAAGATTAGGTCACTTCTAGCACCATGGACCCCTGGCCTGACCACAGTCATTTGAAAGCAAATGAGGAAGAATCACCATCATTCTTCTGGAAGACTCAGGCCTGAGGGAGCCAGGCTGGGCAGGCTGAAACCTTCTCAGCCATTTGCAAGGACAATCAGAGGAAAGGACAAGGGTCTAGTCAGTTGTTGAACTTACTTTCAAAATCCAGGAAAAAATGTGGGTAGTTTTCGATTTCCCTGGTTAGGACCTTAAGAAGATTGCCCATTCCAGGAAACCTGGGGGATGCAATAAAAAAAGCAAATGGTTATAAAGGAAAAAGAAAAAAAATGATTCAAAGGTTCAAGACATCTGGTCAAACGTCATTTAAACCCACTAAGAACATGGCTCTCAGGGTCAATCTGATGCCCCTTGTGAGGGCAGGGGGTGAGTTCTATCTCTCCTTGTGCCTAGAACAGGACTCTGCATACAGCAGGCACTTAATAAATAGTTGATGCATAGAGTAAAGCATAATGGAAGATGCTACAGAAATACCACCACCTCCATCATCATTGTCACACCATGAGAGGCTATGACTTGTTGGCTCACCAAATCAGGCTCTTTAGCTGCTACAGAAAAGGGGCCAGCTATGGACCTAAAATGACCTGAAGGAACATTTGGGACTTCTAAAAAAGAAGTAGGGAAAAGCCTTTTCTGCCTTTCCACTTTCATTCCTTTCCCCACCCATCACATCTTCCTTTAAGGAAATTCACCCCAGAATAGCATTTGGAAGGACTCAAAGCATTTGGCGAGGGGAGGGTTTAAGCTACTTTCTGTCCTTCTGTGCTTGGTCACTCTCAGCTCTGACATTCTATGTCCCGAAGATGTCCTCAGCTCTCATATACTTCAGTCTATGTTTTATGTTCCAAGGCCTTTCCAAGCTCTGGAATTCCAGAGTGGATGTTCCAAGGCCCTTCCAAACTCCAGAATTCTAGATTGGATGTTCTAAAGACCATCTCAGTTCAGACTTTCCAGGTTTTCAGGGTCCTCCTAGCTTTCACATTTAGTGATTTTCCAATTCTGTTCTTTCCAACCTGAAAATCTTTTTTGTTAAAGTTTTCAGAATAAATATTGGGAACAGAATTGGCTATTTCTATCCCCAGAGAATCTTATGCATTTGGAAGCAACAGTGTTTTATGGGAGGAGCTTGGGCCTTTCAAGGACATACATGAAGCCCTAAGAGACACACTGAGCCGAGGCTTCAGCCACTCATCATAGACTACACATTCTACCATTTCATAGCAGCCCCAACTGCTACATACTCATTGGAAAACCCTGACCTTTCTACAGGGCTTTGTGGAGAGCAAAGAGCTATGCTCTCTCTCTCTCCCTTGAACTTCATCAGGACTCTATGAAGTCAGGCATACTGTGTTCTCATATGCCATTGAACAGAGGACAATCATGTGAGCAGATAAGGGACTGGACCACAATCACCCAAGTGTTGAGGAAAGCTTTGAAGTCAGGTCTTCCTGATTCCAAGTCCAGCACTCAATTCCCTGGGCTGCCACTGCCTAAAAGTCATTATTCAATAGCTAGAATGTATATATAGCTTCTTTTTAGGGTTTGCAAAGCACTTTATCCAGGAGTGTACTTTGTTGTTCAGTCGTGTCTGACTCTTCATGACCTTTTTGGGGGTTTTCTTGGCAAAGATACTGGACTGCTTTGCCATTTCCTTCTCTAGCTCATTTTATAGATGAAGAAACTGAGGCAGAGAAAGTTAAGTGCCTTGCCCAGGGTCATACAGCTAGTAAGCATCTGAGGGTGGATTTGAACTCAGGTCTTCCTGATTCTAGGTCTGGCACTTTACCCATTGAGCCATCTAGCTGTGCTTAACCTCTGCTTCTCACCACCAAGTACTCAAAACTCCAGACAAATAGGACTACTTGGCTTCCCTCATACACATCCTATATGGTTCTACTTCCATCCCTTTGCCCATGCTGGTTCCTATGCCTGGAACTCCTTACACTTCATCTCTACCTGTTGATATCATGCCCATTCTCAAAGCCATGACAAGTGGCACTCCTTTCAGGAAGGCTTTTTCTGACCTTCCCCCTTCTTCCATCTTCTGACCTTCCATAAGCATCCCCATTAACTTCCTTGTGATTGAATAAGATCATGAATTATAGAGTACTTTACAAGCCTCAAAGCCTTATTATTATTATTATCATTATTACTCATAAGTGTTATGCATTGAATTGCATTTTATATTAACAACCCTCCACTGAATCCCGATGCTACCTGGTGTGGACCTGACCCTGGGATCTTGAAGGCTGTGCCAGGGAGGTGTAAGCTCAGAACATTCTACAAGCCTGAAAGGCTTGGAGTATTGTTCCAGCCAGAGGCTGAGTCTGCTCATGATCAGCAGCTGAGTTAATTACAAATAAGCTCAGCATTAGCAGCACCAGACTGCCGGCCACTCAGTGAGAAATTCTTTGGCTGTGGAAACCCATGAAGGAAAGAAATAGAATGAATGAGTGACCCTCAGTCCTTTGCTGCCCCCTTCTGCTTCTGCAGAGATGGTGGCACAGGGGTGGGAAAGAGGGCTGGGAGGGCAAAGACCAGCCATAAGCTTGCATTTGGCTTTTGGTATTCTAAATGGGAGATCCCTGTCCAATGAGTGGAAATATTGCTGAGGAAGCTGCAGCCTGTCAAAGGCATCTGATTTGATGTTTTACATTTCCTTAGTAGACTGCACACTTCTAAAAGGGATGTGCCAGTTATCATTATTGTTATTATTATTTTTAAAATCAATCAGCAGCCTTCATTAGGAAGACAGTGAACAAGCATTTTTAATAGCTATTATTTATTTATATTTATTATTCTATTAATTAATTATTCTATTTATTAAGAGCTATTAGTTCCAATTATGTGCTAGGTTCTGTGCTAAGAGTTTTACAAATAGTATCTCATTGGGTCTTCACAACAACTTGTGAGGTATATGCTATTCTTCCTCTCACTTTATAGTCAAGGAAACTGAGACAGACACGTGTTTGAGATAGGATTTGAACACAGGTCTCCCTTACTCCAAACCTTATGTGCCCCTTACCTGCCAACTAGCGGTCAATAGATACACATTCCACATTTTGTATTGGTACCCACAGAATATCAAGAGAGTTAGACGAAGGACCTCAGAATTCTGGGTAAGGCTCTCTGGAAGACTTACTAGATGATGAGGTGGGGAAGGGAATAAGCATTTATATAGTGCCTACTATGTGCCAGGCACTGTGCTTAATGCTTTACAAATAATATCTCATATGAACTTCACAGTCTTATGAGATAGGTGCTGTTATTATCCTCATTTTACAGTTGAGGAAACTGAGGCAGGCAGAGCTAAAATGACTTGCCCAGGGTCACATAGCTAGTAAGTTTCTGAGGCCAAATTTGAACTTAAGTTTTCCTGACTGCAGGTCCAGTGCTGTAACCACTGCACCACATAGTTACTTCTAAGACTTTTTTTGTGCCAGAGGATTAATACACACACACACACACACACACATATATATGGATATGGATATAGATAAAGATATAGATACATAAACAAACAACCCCTGCCCTCAAGAAGCTTACATTCCAATTGTTGAGTGAATGGCTTAACATTAGGTAATCAGAACTATAATCTCTTAAACTTTACAAACAATCTCCCTGCATGGTGGGCAGTGAAAGGACTATAATTGTCATTCTGTATGAAGACACTGAGGACTGGAGCATGACCTTGGGCTCTTCTCTCATCCCCGCTCTGAGTTTCCTCATCCACCAAGGGAGAGGATCGGACGAGGCTCTGTCCAAGGTCCTGACTCTCTCCCCATCAGGCACGCCTGGAATGCCCTCCCTCTTCACGTTCACCTCATACAATCACAGACTTCCTTTAAGCCTTCCCTTCTTCCTTTCCTGATTTCTCAACAGTTAGCACCCTCCCTCCCAAACAACCTTATATTTAACCTTTTTGTATTTCTATTTATTCTCTCTGTACTCATCCTGTATAGACTTAAATTCAGAGTGTTCTTGTCTCCACTATTAAAATGTCATCTTGCAATTGCTTTTCTCTTTGTATTTGACTCTAGTGCCTGCCCCATAGGAGGTGGTTAACAAATGCTTGTTCATGGACTGACTGACCCTCTGACTAGCCTGGAGTCACACATTCAGAGGCAGGGTGGCTCAGTGTATGGAGTGCTGGCCTTGGAGCATTCTTATCCCATCAGATAGAATTGTATGACTATAGTCAAGCTTTAGTAACTTCTTTGGGCCTCAACTTCCTCCTCTGTGGAATGAACATAGTCATAGCTACGGTCCCCACCTTCTAGGGCTATTGGCAGGCTCAAACAAAGTCCTGTAGGTAGAGCTTGGCACATGGTACCCACTGGTCCATTAGAAATGTCAGTTAATGTTATTACTGACCTTACTTGGTTGTTGTGCGGTAAATGAGATTGTGGATGTAAAGCATCTGGGGAAAGACAAGTATTATGGAGAGTTGGAATAACTATCCATAGTAGGACTAGAAGGTGGCTTCATCACGCCCCAGCCTCTCCACTCACTGAAGCAGGCAGCCAGATATGGACATGCTCTAAGAGGGCAGTTTGGTAAATCTCTGACTCAATCAATCTGATACAGGCTGGAATCATCAGAGAAGGAGGTCATAGCCTTGGGCTGGAGGGGATCTTAGGCATCACCTAGCTCGATGCCCTCAACTTACCAGTAAGGAAAATGAGGTCCAGAGGGGCATGCCTTTTCTACAGTTACACAGGAGCTAAGTGGAAGAATCAGCTTTAGAATCTGGGTCTTCTGACTCCAAATTGAGAGCTCTTGGCATGAGGCTTTCCTACTTTCTGGTGTGGTAAGGCACTTTGCAAACCTTAAAGAGTGTGTGTGTGTGTGTGTGTGTGTGTGTGTGTGTGTGTACTAGTGACTATCACCATCACCACTTTCATCATCACCAGTACCATCATAATCATTAGTACTAACTCCTTCAACTGCTCCTGAGGCTCCATACCCTTCACACGGACATTCTGGTATAAAGGGTCCCTGCTAAACACTTATGTACCTGTCACTTGGCTCAGTCATCAAAGAAGTGGAAATAGGGTTGTGGTCTTAGGAAAATGAAAGGCTGTGTGAAAGAATTCTCTATGGAAATGGAGGAGGGGGGAAGCAGGGAATAAACACATTAAATACCTAGTATGGGTGAGGTTCTGTGCTAAGGGCTTTCTAAATATTCTCTCATCAGTTCCTGGGAAGATTTCTGTCT